AAATATGACAAAAACTTTTGGGTGAAACTTGTTTACTTTTTTTCATACTTTTCATACTTTTAATAATTTTAAATAAGTATAAAGAATGGCATTGGTTTTGTACATTTAATTTTTGTTTAACGTTTTTGATAAAAATAATGTTGTTCAATTAGCATGTTTTTGTGTTTTGCTTTGGTACCGAAATTGGCACAGAGAACCGTGGATTTTCACTGGTATTGGTACCGAATACTGAAATTTTGGTACCTTTACAACACAAGTGTGAATAATCAAAAACCGGAAAAAAAAATTCTGGTGTGTTGCTTTATGTCCAGTAGTTCGTCTCTGGTAAAACTGATAGTAAAAGAATGACTAAACACAGAACAAAAACAGCAAAAGAATGGGAGAGCTCCACACTGTGGCAGCCATGCGCTGCACCATCTTGATGATAGTATGCCATCATAAAATGCCAACCATTCCCGGATAGTCTACTTCCGGTTAGAATTCAAAGTGTAGATCGATGCACACTCTAACGTCTAATATTGCCCACAACCCATTGTGCATTGGACGAGGATTTGATTAGAACTACAAACACACAAGTGTAAAAAAAAAAACTACAAACATGGTGGATATGCAAGACAGACAGACAGGTAGAGAAAATGGTTTGAGTGATAAATAATATCTAACCTGATGAAAAAATATTTATGTAATGTTATCAGTGTTATATTTCGTCTGCAGCAACATTGCGAACTTTTATAAAGATACGCTTGTTCATTAACTTTAAATGCATTATTATGCAAACACATGAGCAGAGTTCTCGGGATGATAGACCCATGACTGGCAGATCAGCGTGTCTCTTCATTTCTCACCAAAATGGTAGGAAATTAAATTAAACGAGATGTGGATGATGTTAACTGTGATAAGATGATTGACAGTGCAGTTTAAACGGTGACAGGATGCACAAAACTAAGCAACAGAGCGTCCGTTAAAGACGCAGTTATGACGAAGTAGTTTGTCCCAATGCTTGCCTACTATTCTGTTACATACACAAAAGTGTGTACTTTTTCTTCACAAAAAGAGTACATACTTTTAGGGCATAGTGTACGTAGGCAAATTGGGACGCAGCATGAGAGTGCAAGTGCATGTCTGCAGCCAGACCCTTCTCCAATTTTTTTAACATGTTATTTTCCCAGCTTTATCTTATATTTTCTTTCATACATAGTAGCCCAGATGAGTTTAAATTACTGCATGAATCTTATTTTCTTCATCTGAGCACAATCATAAAGACACAAGGCCTCCCCTACCACTGCTATGCACATGATACACAGCTTTGTGTGTCGTTTCAACCTGATGATCCCACGATTTCAGCTTGTGTCTCAGCCTGCCTTTCAGACATCTGCAGCTCCACCTTGTGAAGACAGAGCCCCCTGTTAATTCCTGCAAACCCGTCAGTTGACCACAACATGACAAGCCAGATCCACGTCACACCCCTCCTGACCACCCCTCTTACTCCACTGACTCCCAGTCAAAACCTTCTCGCTGTTCCTCTCCAGTGGAATGAGCTGCCAACCTCTACCCAAACTTCTCAGACCATCACAACTTTCAAGAAGCAGGTGTCCCTTCTGACAACACTTAACAACTCAGCAACCTTAAACCAGTGCAACCTTAAACACATACACAAAATCCCCCTTTGTATGCCCTCTGAAAAAAGTAGAGTGACAATTTTATTTACCATATACAATTATATAGATGGCAAAAAGTAGCACCAAAGTAGTCCAAATGATGATGTGTTGCATTCAGAGTGCTCACTGGCGGTATCCAATGGTTCCGTGTGAGGTACAGAGTACAACTGCAGTTGTTAATCGCTAAATCTTATCCTGATCCACTCTATGAAGGTGCACATATCTCATTCAAAAGCACACATCATCCAAAACACAGCATGTCACATCATTTAATAGCGACTGACTCAACATTTAATAGCACTGATGTAAAACCTTTATCATAACACTTACGCTTTTTTTTGTAATTATATCTGTAATTATGTCAGATCATTGCCCAGAGCATCACAGTCCCTCGACCAGCCTGTCATGTTCCCACAGTGTATTCTGGTGCCATTACATGCCCAAGTAAACAGTGGACACAAACACAACCATCCACATGATCCATGCAAGAAGAAAACAGGACTCCACAGACCAGACGACCTTCTTCCACTGCTCCAATGTCCAGTTCCTCTGTCCAGTCTGCACCTACACAGGCCCAAATGCTATGCAGTGTGTGTTGTGAACATTGCCTCTTTTAGCTATCATTAAAACTGTTCCCCTACAGCCCTTCTATTGGTTTGGTCCAGACAGAATAGCACCGCAAAAGCCTCACCACTTCAGAGATGACACAGTTGTCTGGTTAAACAATTTTGTCACTCAGATCTTTATTCCTGCCCATTTGTCCTGCACCAGCACACTGATTACATGAACTGGTTGTTCTAACTTCTAAATTACAAATTCTAAATGAGCCAGTTCTAAAGTATAAGTTCTAAATGATCAGCATGGCTGTGATTACCTGCGAGCTCATTCCTACGACTGAATCACAGCCATGCTGATATAGAGTGATATCACAAGGCTACTCGTGAATGCTAACCTCCTTTTTGCACTGTTGATTTACACAAATTAGACATTTGATCGGTTACACTGACTGTGTGGATGGATTGCATGAGTTTGATTTAGTGTCACAGACTGACTAAGTATCATATACTTCATGAGTGCTTTGCTGCACACCAACATGTCAAAGACGATGGTCATTATTAAGAGTTGACACTTACAAGGGATTCATGTTTAACACACGGATGGTTCAACATTTGCTTGCATCCAATGCAAATTCACATTACTTTATTTTTTAACCAGCACATTATCACGTTATTACAACTCTCTAAATCGTTTTTTTTTCTTTACAGATTGTACAGCCTACATTATACTCAAGGGCAGCACTGGGCAAATTAAACTTCATGGTAATACCACTGCGTATTCAGACCAAGTTCTACCACTGCACTATTACTACTAATGCAGTATCCTGACTCGCTGCATTAATGCTAGTTACAGTATGTGAGCTTTTTCATTCATGGCAAAACATTGCAGGAGGTGATGCAGGCAGCCCAAGGTGTGAGCTACAAAACATGATTTTTTTCAGGAAGCAAAGTTTCCTTACTTTAGCAAAGGAAAACCAGTCTCCTCTTGGCTTATATCGAAACCCTCCGACATTCTTCTTTACAAATCCTCATTTTGTACTTCTAATAAGTGACCATTGTTTTGTTTAGAGATATACCTCCGACTGGATTCGTCTGAAAGAAGAAAGTCATATGCACCTAGGATGACTTGAGGGTGAGTAATTTATGGGCTAATTTTCATTTTTGGGTGAACTAACACTTTAAAGCATTTCGCTAAGAAATGCAGGTGCAATCAAGTTGTCAATATTAATATTATAGTTCTGTCTATTGATTTAAATAGTAAAATCAATCCATGTGAATGATGTGATAATAGCAGAAGAATATGTGTTCCCTAATCTAAAGTGTTACTATAGCGTGGTGTATCAAGTAAAACTGCAAATGAAATATTAAAATTCTCTACCTATGATAATTTACCAACTATAAATAATGGCAATTATGCCAATCAGATCTGAATATTCTAATCAGTCCGGCCCTGCTCAGGCATACACGACTACAGTCAAATACATTAGTACATGAATATTCGACAAGTTCATGGCTTTGAACCACTGTGAAAATACTATGACATGATATGTTTAATTCAAGATCATGTTATTTTGATGTTTTAAGTTCATTTGTTACAATTCTATTTTGTTAAATACAAAAATATTTAACAATAAGTTTTGTAATCACTGCATAAGGTTAGCAACAGGACCCACTCAACACACACACACACACCAAAGAAATATTTGACCACACCACGGCCCTTGATTTTTTACTTTTTATTTTTAATTGGCCACTGGATTTATGTAACTTTTGTGCTCACCCGATTCCTTAGCCCAAGCTTTCAGAAACAGACATTTTACTGTCAGTAATTCTGCTGCAATCAAAGTGTTAATGTGGATGCTTACATATAACTATATACAGTAGGATAAGATTTATAGAATAAAAAGGCAAAATAACAAATACTCCAAAATTGCATAGTGTGAAACTACAGGCAAATCTCCATATCATTTTAACAATGCACAGCGGTGACCATCCACCCGCTGGACAAAAGGTAAAAACAACACCAGGCTCAGATCTGCCATGTTTAGTCACTATGAACTGGAGCTAAACTCTAGAGAATGCAGCTTTAGGGCTGCCCTCACATACATAAAACTACAAACAAAGTCACCAAAAATATATATGAAAAAAAAAAACATTCATTAACAAATGTAATGCTGAATGACATTAGAGAAACAGAAGATAAATAAACTATATATTAGATTTCTTTGTCAGAAGTGAACACCGTGTAGTCTTGCTCACTGAAAGGTAGCACACATATAGCTGCATAATTTTACTATATATTCAACAGAGCTAAATCTCAACTGGTTGATCATCTATCCCAGGGGTGGCAAACGTCAGTCCTGGAGAGCCGCAGCCCTGCAGAGTTTTGCTTCAACCCTAATCAAACACACCTGAACAAGCTAATCAAGGTCTGAAGGGTTACTAGGAAGCTACAGGCAGGTGAGTTTTTATTAGGGCTCTCCAGGACTGACGTTCGTCACCGCTGATCTATACCATCGATGTATATCAACATTTCACTCAGCTCTAAAAATGCTTGACTGAATCAAATTCTATCCCAGCCTCTGAAAAGTGAGATTATTCTGACATTTTCACCCAAAGGACACGGGATACTCCGTTTGTAGCGCATGAACCTGTCTGACACTCTCAAAATACAGGAATGTCAGATCAACTGTCCTAGCTAGCATTATGAAGATGAAGAAGTAATAGTATTTTAACCTTTTTTTTTTTTTTGGTTATAATACAGGAATGTCAGATCAACTGTCCTAGCTAGCATTAAGAAGATGAAGAATATATTATTTTATAATTTTTTTTTTTTTTTGGCTATGGATGAAGCGTAGCTGTATAGTGAATTGTTGTTTGTTGACCTGCCCTCTTGATTGCTCAAGGCAGATTTCTCCTAATGGACACAATAAAGGATCAATTAAAACCAAACCAATAGGCCTTACAATTAGTATTTTTTCTGGATACTTACTCAAAGCACTTTACAGATAATAGGGGGAATCTCCTCAGCCATACTGTATGTGGAATCAATAATTTTGATCAAGCATTATGGGGCATTTCAGTTAAATCAAAGTGAATTGTATTATTTTGTATTATTTTGTTCTGCATAATTTAATATGTGCATTAAGTCAAGGCTACTCAGGTTTCTCCAGTGCTTGTAATTTCAATAGCTTCTGCATTAAGTACCCAAGCCAGAACATCAGATAGTTATTATTTCTTGTCAATTTCACTTCTTCCACTTTTAGGATTTCACAGACTCCCTTGAGTTTAAATTCCTCAGCAGGCATCATTTGGAAGCCGACACGTGTGGACTGTAGAGTGTGTGTGTCTGTGTGTACATGTCTGTATGTGTGTGTGTGTGTTTGATGTGACTCAATGCAATGCCAAAGGAGGCCAGTGAAAGGTATTCATTCTTTTTGTTTCTCTCTAACTTGGCCAGGACCATGTGAAGTTTCCCGGCTACCCATCTGAGGGCTTTTGTCCTACCCGAAAAAGTGGCAGTGCCCCCCTCTTACTCCCCCGGGCAAAGATTTGGGTTTAATCTGGCATGGAGAGGGGTGAGGAGGATGCCAGCTCCATTCAGCCCGCTGATGTCATGCGTATGCCCACCGTGGGAGAGCAGCGGATGGACTTGGAGGGTGGCAAAGACCCATTCTGCTCTCACTCAATCCGCTCTCTATCGGGATGAATCACTCTTTCAGGAATGGCAGCCCGCTGTGAGGCACAATTGATGGCTATTTTATGCTATTTTTATGCTACCTTACAGAGGAGAAGATTCTCTCTCTGACTCTCTTTCTTCCTGTGTCTCTCTCTCTGACAGCTATTACAACCTTTTGGCCCTTCTTCAATCAAGCACACACACACACACACACACACACATACACTGCTCTCATCAACAGCTTATAACATAATAAATTGATAAAACTGGAGTTAAATATAGATTAAATATACTGAAACACCTCAAATAAAAAGAAAACATCCATCACAGCAATATATGTTAAATCAGTAATCTAATGACATGATTTGTACAATATACATGAGTGTATTAGTCTAGAAATCTCCTATGCAGACTATGCAGAAGTCTATGCAGTAAGGATTGATAATATCAGTGCTGATCTAGTATATCATGCTTGGATTGCTACATTTACAGCAAAGTTGACATGATAGGCCATTATTGTAGGTTCTGTTCCAGAATCTGCATGGAAAAGTGTGATCTTACTGTGAAATCTCTCTTCGACAATTGCAATTTCATGAAGAAAGTTATTGGCGATTCAATATATTTTAAGAAGCAATTGCTTATGCACGATTATCAAGACGTCTGAGAAAGCTCAAATCATTTTAGCTGACCTATAACACTTATCTTATTAGATAATTATTGTAAACATTATCAAGAGAATATTAGCTTATTTTCTGGAAATCTCACACAGAAATTTGAAACATTATAAATATTGCAACTAAATTCATCATACTCAATCATTAATTAATTAATTGTGGTCAAGATAGCAGAAAATAGCACATCTATCACTATCATAGTGTCCTAACTGGGTTAAAGTCACGAGTCACGACTGTGGTGACATAAGCGCTTACATACACACACACACACACACACACACACACACTGCAGTCTGTAGCCTAGTTAAACCGCTCTCAGGGACCAAAACGGAGGTTTTATGATAGATCAAAAAAATCATTTTCTCAACCATTGAGACGTCTGTTTTAGACATTTTAAAGGGGTCATATGATGCGATTTCAATTTTTCCTTTCTCTT